CTTCACAAAGATCTGTAACAGGACGGACATGACAATAACAAAAGCTTGACTTATTTAAATCACAAAAAAGATCGTATTCAACAGTTAAAATATCTTCAGTGAATAATGCAAAATTCATTTAAATACACTGGCCGGCCTCGCCTCCAGATTTCAAAATAACAAAAAGAAAGGAGTAATAAAGGGAATGCTCGAAAATGAGATAAGTCGGATGCCAGAATCTGAGAAAGAAATAAGAATACGGTTGGTATAGTTAGCCACAAATACAATAAATAAGAACAGAAGTAATGTCCTCTAAGTAATCACATATGTGTAACAGACAATAACAATATCAATAATTATAATATAAATAATAATTTGGTAGCAATATGAAGTAATAATAACAATAATAAAGAAAATAAATCAAAACAAAGACAGACTAGATCAAAAAGGCAGGATAATCTGAGGAAAGAAGGATCTAACTTCGTAAAGAAATATGAATTTCACATGGGAAATCCGATGATCAAGAATGTGACTGGTTGAAATGACTGGCAAATCGTATTCGCTTGAAGATAAGGAATAGCTTTGGGTTTAAAAAAATGAAGGTAAACAAAACGAAAAATTCTCAGTCTTGAATTCGAAGTTGTCAGGAGAGTATGATGATGCAATCAGGGAGCGTTTGTGGCAAATGGGTGGGTACTGACGACCGTTTCCTCAGATGAAGAAGTGGATGTCTCTTGACGACGATAGTCGCGATTGGAAATGACATAGTAAACAACCGAAACAAACAGTATGGCAGAAACACCGACGAAATTTCCCAGCATTTCTCGAGACCGCAGCTCGGAATATCTATGAAATGATATAAAAGGATAAAGTAAAAGCGATTTTGAAATCTTGAATGATAGAAACCACCCTGAATAAGGTTGAAAAATTGTGTTTATAGCGAAAATAGCATAAGTCAACTGATAAAAGCAATATTATAAGAATATTACAAATAGAGAGAATTTATTGATGTAATAAAAAACTTCGTCAATGATAGGAGATCAAAAATATAATATTTAAGGAAGTAAATGGTGCCTATAATTACAGCTGGTAAAAAATGAATAGCCCGAAGAATAGGCAAGTGAGAGCAATATTCATACTAAATACAAATAAAAATTGTAGTGCTCTAGGAGTAAGATAATTAATGCCATTTTGCAGTCTTATGGTAGCCTTAAGAGTATTAATAAACTAACTTTTCTGAAAAGAAATTCTTCTCTGTCAACCCCGAGACAACAGCTATAAGGGCACCAAAAAAGAGTAGACTGCCAAGTGATGTATGAATTGGCATCAGAGCGGCACGAACCGGCTGCGACATACCAGGAAATAGAAATACAGCGAATGATACGATCCACTGGGTTTAAAAAAGACAAAAAAATAAGGTGATATGATATAATGAAAAAAAGCAGGTATAGAAACTTGAAGGTAAAAATCATATTCTTTTTGGCAAATAAATCAAAATGGTAGAAAAAAATAAAAATAGGAAAGAACGTCTTCAAGCCTTAATTAGCGAACTAAAAGAATCAATAATATCTTGTATAAGGATATAGAACGAAATTTGAAAGTAGCGAAATATATTGCAATATGAGAAACGAAAGCGACAGAAAGGCTAGCCGCCGATAGTAAAAAGACAAGAGAACGTAAGATTCGAGAGGCCATGGACATACTGACTGAAAGAAATCTAATGAATAGGGTTAGCAAAAACTTTGCATCTTGCTTAAGCAAACTCGGAGAGGATCAGGGAATAGCAAGATAAGCAAAAAGAAGACGACGAGATCAAGGAAATATTTTTGAATATGAGGAAGAGAAATCGTGAGATGCCACAGAGCAAACAGAAATCAAGAGGCTAATGCAGTGAGTGTAATCAAAGCAAATGGAACTACATTTGGAGATTTGCACACAATAGATTAAGGCGCAGGCAAGTCAGAGATTTAGAAGTATGAACAGAAGCATGATAGATGCTACAGAGACTAGAGATGGTTGGCTAAGAGCAAATGCGTTTCGTCATAGGCTTAGTCCATGAAGTTAAGGCT